GAGTAGAGACTCCCTAAGGCTGGGGTGGGGGACCCTCTATGTGGTCCAAGTGCATGGGGAGCCTGGGTGGGTTATAGGCCTGTCACATATGGTCACAGCTAACGGAGATGCCGTGGTCCCTAGTGCCCTTTGACCCCAGCTTCATCACAAGTGGTTCTCGCTGTGTACTCAGGGGTGTGCCAGGTCTACTCTTCAGATAGTGCACCCAGAATCATGACTGTGTGTTTCCTCTCACTGCATTGGGTGCAGGACCCCAGTCACATGTGGCCAAGACAGGGCAGGCAGCTGGAAGGTTCTTTGCAGGCAACAGTGGCTGCTGCTGCATGGTCCTATGGGGATGTGAGCCTCAGGCACTCTGATGACTTCTGTGTGTTTCACTGCAGATAGCCTGAAGGTGCAGGAGAATGAGGACAACCTCGCCGTTGTCCATGCTGCCCGTGATGTGCTCAAACTTGTACAGAACAAGTTCCTGCCCGCTGTGTGTTCCTGGGTGCAGGTGAGGCCAGGTGCCTGGCCAGAGCGAGGGTGTGAAGGTGGAGCCCATGGATGTAGGACATGTGGGAAGTGCCTGGCACGAGGGTGTCTTTTTGAGGCCTGCTGGGGCTCTGTCCCTTGCCTGCAGCCTCTATCCTCTGAAATACCCTGTAGGCCCACAGACCAGCTAGGTGACTCCCAGCAGGGTCAGTCTCCCTGGGGCCTGCCCTGGGGACTTTTGCAATTCAGTTTGTGTTTTTCAGCGGTTTACCCGTGCAGGGGTCCACGGGGGACACTTAAAGCGTGCCATTGGCCTGAAGACGGATTTAGAAGTCGTACTGAGAAAATACCAAGAGCTGGACATCATACCCAAGGGGGAGCTGAGGCTCAGCGTGAGTTGGGGCAGTGGGTGAATGTACTGAGAAAAATACCAAGAGCTAGACCTTGTACCTGAGGGGGAGCCAAGGCTCAGTGTGAGTGGGGGCGCTGGGTGCTGACCATAGTTCTGAGCAAGCATGAGCTGCTGGGGCCTCAGGGTGCTGTTTTCTTTCTTGCTGAGAGTCACACAGGGCCCCTTGTCCAAGGGGCAGTGAAGGTCTGGGGTGGCAAGTGGGGTCCCAGTGCTCTCTGTGGGAAGGAGGGGAACCCCTGGGGGCCCAGCTGCACCTGGCTCCTTGGCCAGGCTTCCTGCATGGCAGTGGCATCTAGGCTATCCACATGTTCTGGCCCTGTGTTCCACCTGAAGGGGCCTCCAGGAAAGCTTTAGGGGCCAGGAAGCTCTGCGGGCATCCTCAAACTACGGCCCGCAGGCCACATGCAGCCCGCCTAGGATATTTATCCAGCCTGCTGGATGTTTTTGCTGCTGCTGCCTGTCCTGCTTAGCAGCCAACTTGTCCCGGGCCCCGCAGACAGTGAACTGGTCCCCTGTTTAAAAAGTTTGAGGAACCCTGCTCTAGGGAGTTGCCATCAGATGAGGCATACTGTCCGGAGGCACCAAGGTCAGCCCAGGAAGAGACCCTGGGAGAGCTCTGGGTGTCAAGAACAAAAGGCTAGTGGAAAGAGGAGCTGGGCCCCTGAGGCTCCGAGGTTGCAGGGAGATGTTCCCCCTGAGCAGGGAAGAGAGTCAAAAGGGCCATAGGCCATCCGGCAGAGCTAGGGGGAGGTGTGGTGTCCATCCCTTGGGCCCTGCCAAATGGGCAAGGCAAAGCTGTGCAATGACCCTGAAACCACAGAGACTACTGCCCTGGGCAGGGGTGACAGGCTGCCACATGAGGATGGGGACACTCGCATTCACAGGGCAGGGGTCTCACACATGTGTCCTCAGAGACTGTGGGGCAGGGGCTGCCCTTAAGTGCATCCAGCTGTGCCCGGTCATCTGTCTCCTGGCTAGGCGGTCTCTCCTCTGTTCAGAACCAAGGAAATAGCAGGTACCGTCCCTCACAGAACTCAAGGCCTGGACTGTAAACCCACACCTAGCTGAGGGTGTTGCCAACCCTGGCCTGGGAGATGGTCAGATTTTATACTCTCCCGGTTTTTAAACCTTGCCATGGCTCCAGCCTAGAACCATGAGCCAGCGATCACCTGCCCTGGGGGCCTTTGGAGAAGAGCATGCTGGTCCCTTCCCAGGTGGGTCCCTTCCCCTCTGTGCTTTGCTGAGGAGGCACAGCTATGGGGCCAGCAGAGGGCGCTTGCTGTCCCACCGAGCAGGCCACGAGGACTGCTGTGCGGTCCCCTGTTTGTGGGTGATCATTAATAGTTAATACTGTGTAAGAGTTTTGTTAACTAAGAAATCAGTTTTATAAATTTTCACAAAGTGTATCTTTCACTATGAAGAAAATATTTTTCATTCTTGTTTTTGTGGGAGGAAGGTGATCAACTCTGTCAGCTTATCAGCAGTCAGAAGTTCCTCCCTGTGACTGTGCAGGGCTACAGTGTTGTCAGGGCAGGTGTGGGTGGCCAAGTCGCCTGCATGGGCAGGTCTGGGGCCACAGGGACCCCTGCTCATGATCCTGCTGAACCCTTGGAGATTGCCATGCTTTGGCTGCCATGTGCTGCTGCTGCCCTATCTCATCAGGACATCCAGATCCTGCCTGTTCCCACTCAGTCCCTTCTGTGGTGAACAGTTGTGGCTCCTGCAGTGGGTGGACAATTAGGTTTGCTGATAGGATGATGTCTCTGGGGAGTTTGGTGCTTGGGGGGTGTCCAGTGAGCCGGGAAAGGTAGCGTGGTCTGGTCTCACCAGACCTGGGCACTGCTGACCCTTATCATCAGCAGGGCAGTAGGACCCTGAGTAACGGGGGTTGTGTAGCTTCAGTATCCAAGACAACTGTGGGTTGGTTGAAGAGATAGCAGCTTTTTTTTTTTTTTGAGACAGAGCCTCAAGCTGTCCCCCTGGGTAGAGTGCCATGGCATCACAGCTCATAGCAACTTCCAACTCCTGGGCTCAAGCGAGTCTCCTGCCTCTGCCTCCCAAGTAGCTGGGACCACAGGCGCCCGCCACAACGCCCGGCTATTTCTTGGTTGCAGCCGTCATTGTTGTTCGGCGGGCCTGGGCTGGATTTGAACCCGCCACTTTAGGTGCATGTGGCAGGCGCCTTAGCCACTTGAGCCACAGACGCTGAGCCGAGATAGCAGCTTCTTTGGGGAGCCTTGGTCACTGTCTGCCTGGGCTCCTGCCACCATGCCTCCCAGAATCTGCTGGTCTGCTCTAGGTGCTATGTCCAGGAGCCCCAAGGTATGTGGGCTGGGTCATCCAAAAGGCATTGGGTGTATGTGGCTGCCTGTTGGGCTCTGGTGTGTGCTCCTGTCCTGTGAGGCCCTGTAAGCCTGTATGCCTTCAGCTGTGTGTAAACTTTCAGGACGCAGACACAGGTGTCTGGGCATCTCTGGGTGTGTGATCCCTGCCTCTAGGTCAGCAGGACCACTGTCCTGGGCCCAAAGTCCTGGGGCTGCAGCAGTCCCCATTGTCCTGTGTGGTCCTGGCCTGACTCCTCATGTCCTCCTGTGTCAGGGTGCTTGGGGTTTTATAACCTTGGCCTGGAGGCAGCTGTGAACAACCCAGAGCCCTTGTCCCCATGGGACACATAGCAGGCACACTCAGGGAGGCTAGGCAGCAAGGCTGAGCTGGGCCCACTGGACTGGGCGGAGGGGTCACAGCTCCAGGGGGAGGGGAGAAGCTGCTTTGCTGGTTTGTCGGTTGAGTGGACATTTTCTAGATCCTTCCTTACAAACTGATCTTTCTTAAAGGCACTGCTCCAAAGTCCTTAGAGATTTGCTCAGAGAGCGAGAGCTGGCAGATGCAGTGATTGGCGGACGTCTAGTTGTGAGAAGCAGCACCCGCTCAACTGAGCTCGCTTCCCAGAATAGACACGGTGCCCGTATCTGCCCATCGCCCTATGGCTTGCACTGCGCATGTGTAGGGCAGCTGGAGCTGGCTGATGAATGTCACTGTTAATTAATGCCATTTTAATTAAAAATTATGAATGAGGTGCTCTGAGGTAATTTTCAAGTAAAACTTACAGAAGGCTGAAATCATTCCCCTCGTGTGAAATCATTCCCCATTTAGCACAGAATTGGCATCAGCTTTGCATGTAGAGCACAGAGCTAAGAATGTTAATCTGATAATATGTGGTTTAAATATTTTATAACATCTAACAAACATGCATGCCACCAAAACATGGCTGGTGCAGCTGGCTGAGGCTGCAAGCCACAGCTCAGACTCGGGAGGGGCACTGAGCGGCTGCTCTGCACGCCTGTCGCAGTGGTTTCTACATAATATCGTTTTCCTTTGACATAGATGTGCTGTCTTCAAAAAATACTTACTCCAGTTTAAATAGGTTTAACTCCGTGTTTTATGGAGTGTCTCTGTGTCAGTTCTGTTTGGGAGTAGGCCAGGGATAAATCCCAGCCAGATCAATGCGGAAAGGCACTGGGCAGATTTACCTCCCAGCCTCGCTGTAGCAGAGGTGTGATAACCCCTGGCTGCTTCATTCACTAAACTGGTGGAAATCCTTTGAAAACTTAAAAATTGCTATTTAATTGTATAGGTAAGTTTACCAATTATTTTTTATTATGTAATGAACGATAGTAATTTCCTACCACCTAGTAAGTCAGAATAGTTGTTGGTATCGCTCTTTTCAGTACTAGCAGCAGTGTTTTTTTTTCTTATTGTAAATTATTGGGTTATTTCTACACATAGTTTAAATATTGGCATGGATGTTTCATTTTCGCCTCTCATGAGTCTGATGGTGCAGCCACATGGTTCTCACTGGGACACACTGCCACTGTCTGCGGACATCGGAGTCCTCTGCCTGGCATGCTCTGGTTCTCTATCTGCACCACCTACCTTCTAGACTAGCCTGGGGCTCCAGGGTGCAGCTGATAGGCCCCCTGGGGACACTGCTGTCTGTTCGGGAAAGTTCTGTGGTGCTGCCAGAACTGCTTGGCTTCTTGGAGGTGAAAAGGACAGAAACCAAAATCCAGGGAATGAAATGTTGACCCGTCAGGCACAGCAGGAAGGGCAGGGGACTAAATCAGCTGCTGGGAAACCTTGTGCGGTAGCAGGGCCAGGAAACAACCTTCCTGGTGACGAAGCTCCCTCCATCATGCTGAAGGCCAAGCACTAATCCGCGGCAGGCTAGGAGTTGGGAGGGTGTAGATAGGACAACTCTCGCTGGTCAACCTGGGCAGGCCAAGGCACAAGCCTTTCCCTCCCAAGCCCCCCACCCCCACCCGGGGTCCAGTCCCCCATGTGTTATCTGCTTGGTAGACAACACTTAGCAGATGAGCCTCTCTCCCTCTATACCCCCTAGTGTTCTCTCTTTAATTCCAAAAGAGCTCTATTGGGTAGACCATTGCCCCCATTTTTTTTTTTTTTTTTTGAGACAGAGCCTCAAGCTGTCCCCCTGGGTAGAGTGCTATGGCTTCACTGCTCACAGCAACCTCCAACTCCTGGGCTCAAGCGAGTCTCCTGCCTCAGCCTCCCAAGTAGCTGGGACCACAGGCGCCCGCCACAACGCCCGGCCATTTTTTTGGTTGCAGCCATCGTTGTTTGGCAGGCCTGGGCTGGGGATTCGAACCTGCCACCTTAGGTGTACGTGGCTGGCGCCTTAGCCAATTGAGCCACAGGCGCCGAGCCCATTGCCCCCATTTTATCGATGAGAAAACTGAGTCTGGGAGAAGTTTTTGTGAGCCCTAGCCTCCTGGTTGATGCCTGGCCACCTGGCAGGAAGAGCTGTCCATTGAATGTGCTACCTACTCCGTGGCCAGTTACCGTGGCCTGCTTCTCTGCAGTGTTCTGGTTACCTGGAGCACTGCACTTGCAGCTGAGGCCAGGCAGAATCACTTGGCCTACCTCCTTCCTCCTAGGGTCTCTGGTGCCTGTAGTAGCCTGAGTAGACATTTCTGGTGCCCACAGTGGCTTTGCCTGTGAAACTTGTGGGAACTGATCATGCCAGCTGTTTTTTTCTTTTTTTTTTTTTTGAGACAGCCTTACTTTGTTGCCCCCAGTAGAGTGCCGTGGCATCATAGCTCATAGCAACCTCAAACTCTTGGGCTCAAGAGATTCTCTTGTCTCAGTCTCGCAAGTAGGTGGGACTACAGCCAGCACAGCGCCTGGCTATTTTTTTTGAGATGGGGGGAGGAGGAGCTCACTCTGGCTCAGGCTGGTCTCCAACCTGTGAGCTCAGGCAGTTCACCCACCTTGGCCTCCCAGAGTACTGGGATTACAGGCGTGAACCACCTGGCATGAGCCTAAGCCCCTGGGCTATCCTGTTGTCTGGAAACCAGGCTGGTAGCCTCCTTTGAGAACATGTTCTGGGCAGACACCAGGGCAGGCCCGGTTAGGCAGCCCTGGAGAACAGGCTTTCAGGGTTGGTCCATTTGAGCAGATCCTCATCGGGTTGAAACGTGGGGTCCTGCCTTTCTAGCCAACTGCTCCTCCACACCCAACAGAGATCAGGTCCCAGCTTGGCTCCACAGGTTGACCTCCTCTCACGCCTCCTGGCAGGCTGGACACCACTGTGTAGGCCTCAGGTTAGGCCTCCTGTGGTGGGCAGCTTCTGCTAGGTTTGTCCACAGCTCCAGGCCTCTTACTGATGGGGATCAGGTGAGAAGGGGAGAATGCTTACCACGCTGCTTTGTGATCTTACTGAAAAACCTGATGAGTGTGGATTTTATGAAGAGACAGTTATAGAACGTTGCCATTTGCTTCAGCACAGCTTCCGGTGCTCACCCAGGAATCCAGAGTGTGTTGTGCAGCGCTGGTCCTGTGTCCAGGTGCTCCCTGTGGCCAGCCCAGCCCACGACCACCCTCTGTCCTCTGAAGGTGCATCCCAGCAGCCAGAGATGCACATGAGATATTGGCCTGGCTGGGCAATTTGCACGGCCTTCCAGGGAGGGCATTAGCATATAAATAGCAGATGCAATGACGACCATCACAGCTGAGCACGTTTAATTTTTAGTTTATAAGATAGAATGGGTTTTTAAATGCATAGCCATCAAGCCGGGGAAAGACAAATGCAGTTTGGAACTCACTTGTCTGACGAGGCCTTACATCATTTTTTTTAAAAAAAGGAAACAGACACACATAAAACTGAACAAAAGTGATTTCTTGGGTGAAAAGTAATTGAGATTGCGTACCAAGTTAATTAGATGGTACAAAATTTATTTAATGGTCCCAGCTGTATCTGCTGGCCGTGCTTGGTGGGCAGGACTGCCCCTTCCCGCGGGCTCCACTTCCCCTTCTCAGTAATTAGTAACCTCACTACCCTGCTCTTGTAAACTGATTGCATTGTATATTTTAGCCGTTTTATTGCTTGTTTAATTATGATCGTAGAGACTCATTTTTCTAAATCCTTTTAAGTGTGAGTGAGAGTCACTTTGTATGAAACTAGCACAGCCAGAGAATGTTCTCCATGCCTCCTAGTGGCGGCTGCGTGGGGGTGGGGGCTTTTCAGAGCTGGCCCTGGCATGGTGAAGGTCTGCAGCCCCAATGATGGGAACCACCCAGGCCCACACCTGTTAGGGAAAGCGTGCACAGGTGCCCAGTGCCCTGATTACAGCTCCCTTGGGAGGGGCCTTTGCGCCCTGTCTCTGCCTGGCCCTGTCTCTGCCTGTGGGTTTCTTAGGTGTCTTTTGTCTTAAACTATTTGATCACAGTTGGAAAACCCAGCTCCAAGGTGAGCTAAAAGCAAATTGCTCGTAGAGAAGGTTTAACAAGTTTAACCCTGTTTGGAAGATGCCTCCAACTCTGCCTAGGAGTTTGGTTTCCCTTCCAGGACTCTCGGGTGTTCAGACACCCTGTGCTCACATGGTAGGGTCGCTGTTGCCTGGTGCTGGCCCTGAGCCCTGTCTGACCTCTGTAACCCTGAGGGCAGGTCCTCGTAGTACCTCAGGCCAATTGGTTATTTGATTTCTTGGTAGTGAACTGGACACTTCCAAGTGCTCAGAGAGGCTCTTCCATGTGGGCCTTAATTCCTCTTTGGTCCTCCCTGCATTTCTGAGGCCTTGGACTATCTCTGGGGCTGTAGTGTCTCTCCTCTGAGCAGGCCTCGGGTGTGAGGCCCTGGCAGCTTACACAGAAACATTACTTCCTGTCCCTAATGTGCAGCAGGCCTGGTGTTTGATGTCCAAGGTGACATCCAGGTTTCTCATCTGTGAATTAAAACCTAAAAATGAGGGAATTTCAGCTTAATTTTCATATGAGCAGTGAAGTCCCTAATTTTAAGTTGCCATGGTTTCAGTTTCAGACTAAAGTGTTGAAACGTGTGCTGTGGTGGGCTCAGAGGTGGAGGTTTGTCTGCAGGCTTGCCTCTGCATTCACAGGGGGGACATATAGGCCCCATTGCCTGTTGGCGCTAATGTAGAACAAAGAGGAACCAGCCTCCAAATTTAGTCGTAGAAATAAACGATTTTACTTGGAGAGAAAGAAGATATAATTCCTAGTAGTTAGCTAAGCAGTTAAATTTTTTTTTTAGGAAATGAAAATTTGATAAAAGTCCCCGTTGAAATTCAAGGGTGTGGGCAATAAGCATAATATTTTTTGAAAATGACCCCCATATTTAACATCTGGCGTGTGTGTTATGCATTGTAGCACCCGGTCCACATCTACCTTTAGAAAATTAAAACACATAAATTCTGTTTAGTGTTTGATGCGCACTGCACTAGCTGAGAACTGTAATGCCCTAAAACCTTGGGCTGCTCTCCACCTTTCATAAATTCCTGGGCAGATTCTATACAAAAATAATTTTCAGGTCCGTGGCTCATTGTTATTCAAACGTGATGGATGGTCGTCATTTGCTCTGCTCGGGAGTTAAGTGCCCCTGTCATTTCCAAAGAGTATAATTGGGACGTTTCACAGGTCAGCGGTGGAGACAGGCTTCCCTTTTGATCAGTGTTAGACTGATAACAAAAATTGCAGTTTCCCATGATGAATGTCTCCTGCACTTCCCAGAGGCACAGCCGAGGCTGCACTTGGACACTGCCTACCTGCTTCTGGGTCTGTGCCGGGGGCTCCTGTTCTTCAGGGCATCAGGGCCTGGCAGGTGTGGCCAGATGTGGCTGCTGATGTCCCCGGCTCCAGGGCTGTGAGCAGTTCTAATTCTGTCTGATGCCTGCAGCTGACCCTGAGCACCATCCACAGCCACCTGGAACCTCCTTGGGCCCGTTCCCCTGCTGTCTGTCCTCCCTTCCAGAAAAGGCCAGAATGAAGCGTGACTCAGGTGTGGCTGTTGGGAATTGCATGTGTTGGAGTGGTTGAGTTTTTCAAAGTTTTGCTCATGTGACCATCTGAGGGTCTCATGAACTGGTGTTCATCAACAGGCTTTCTTTCCAGGGGCCCTACCTGCCTGGCTAGCTTGGAATAGCTGTGATGGGCCACCCTGCAGGCTCCCTTGTTCTGGGTGCTCCAGCCAGGCCCTGTCTTGGGGCGCAGGGGTGGCTCTACAAAGGATTCTGGCTGGTGGGGAGTGAGGCAGGAAAGAGCCATCCACAGGCTGTTTCTGCATCAGGACTGTAGGCAGGTGTGGCCCCACTGTGTATGGCACTGTTATGAGTGCAGCCCTGGCTGTGGATCACAGCTGTCCCTTCCCCCTTCACATGGGAAGCGGGGAGAGCCAGTGCTTGTGCAGTTCTGCAGGTACTGGGGTAGGTGAGGCACCTGGGCTCCCCTAGAACTCAGCAGGCAGCCCCTGGTCACTGGCCTTATCAGAAGGAAACTCGAAGTGGGTTTTAACAAGTCATTAAGGACAGAATATTCCTGGCTCGCGCCTGTGGCTCAAGTGGCTAAGGCGCCAGCCACATACACCTAAGGTGGCGGATTCAAATCCAGCCCAGGCCACCAAACAACAATGATGGCTGCAACCAGAAAAAAAAACAATAGCCAGGCGTTGTGGTGGGCGCCTGTGGTCCCAGCTGCTTGGGAGGCTGAGACAGGAGACTCGCTTGAGCCCAGGAGTTGGAGGTTGCTGTGAGCTGTGGTGCCACGGCACTCTGCCTAGGG